GCATTAAGCCATGATAGATGGGGGTTTCTGCAACGTCAAGCGAAACACCAAAACAAACAAGGTGAAATCTTGGCCCTATTAAAGTCAACAATTCATCTCCTACTAAATTCAATAAGAACTGGATTTCATCCATAGAATTTAAGGCAAGGAAAGTCTTGGTTTTCTGTCTGAAATGGCAAAATATCCATGGGTTTGCCATGTCAACCAGCTGTAATTATTGCAGGTGCAATAACCCTTTGCATAGAATGGCTGCAGGTTAGCAAGGATAAGGAGGCATAATAAGGTTTAAGGAGACCGTAACACTGCATTTCATACTTTCCAACACACACATCTATTAATTGCAAACTTTGAATATACAGTACTAATTATTAAGATGTTTGTGTGTCTTCTAATATTACAGAGTTACAGTAAGGTTCTTTCCCCCTTAAGGCTGTTCTTTCTTATTAATGACTTACTTCTATTTTAACAAAGATTGTGTCTGAGAATTTTGGATTGTTGTTTGCCAAATCTAATTTTTTAATAAAGGTCGCTACTTTAAAAAATACACAGAGGGACTAATTTTTTTACTAAATTTCCTTAAATCAAAGCTACACTAACCAGTTTTACTAAGAGAACCATTGTAAAAGCAAACAAACTTCTCCACTGTTTGCTCACTCAAACAACTTGAATATAACTCATGTGTTTTTAAAAAGTATTTACAAAACAATTAGCTTGCAGATGAACACCATGTTTGACAACTTTGCCAAGTGAGAATGTTTATGGCAATGTTAGAAATGAGAATGCTGACATTAACTTGAACTACCAGCAATAGAAAGTGTGGCATATGTTCTTTTCATATCTCATGCTACAAAACTTCAGGAAGTAAAATTTTCAGGTAAACTACCATGTTACAGAACTATTAAAATGCACTGCACTAGCATCTACTCTCTATTTGAGAGTGTCTGTCTGTTCAAGAACTCTTCCTAAACAATAAGAGCTAAGGCCACCACATTTGGTATACAGCTTCCTCTTATCATAATTTAAAGCAACATAACAGGTTGGTAGTGCCAGGAAAATGGGATGTACCTGGAATGGAATTGCTTCCCATAAAACCATACAGAAAAAAGTCAAAATCACCAGGCAGGTGAAAGGGGCTGGCTGGGGGTGTCTCCCCCTCATTCAAAACTGCCCCAGCCCCAAGACTCCAACCCCCAGGTGCCCTACAGGGAGGGTGTGGGGGTACTGAAGCGCCTGACTCCCTGATTTATATGGGGACACTGTTGGCTGTTCTCCTTTGTCAGGGAGTGACAGGAAAGTATACGGTTTGCTGCATTCCTTGTTTTGGCAGAGGAGCGCAGGGGGCAGACGAACTGTGAACTTTGCTCTCTCCCCCTGATGGGGACAGGAAGTGGAAGAGCAAGCAGCCTCCCCCCGACTTACCAACCTACAATCCCCTGCCCAGAGCAACCCTGACTCCCGCACACTCACAGATCCCTGCTCTGAGTTGCTCCTTAAGAATCAGTGCAAAGCCAGGTAAGTGTACTAGTTTGTCTACAAATGTAAAACATTGACATGCCATGTTCTTAAAGAGATAAAGGAAAATCAGACTTACTTACATGTTTCAAATGCAATATATGGCCATTAATTAATATTAGTTAAGAAGAAGGTGAAAAATTAAATAGTTCCACACATTTTAAACTAGGGATCTATGTAAATAATTTTAAAATGCTGTTGTGAAATACATTTTTAATCAGAAAAATATAAATGGGGGACATATAATGAAGCTACCAAAAAAGCAAGCTAAATATCAGGAAAACTTGCCAAATGTGTAAGATTTATTAGAATGGGGGAAAACTCCCAAGGAGAGCAGAGAAAGCCCTATCTCTTCAAATCTGACAAAACACTGACAAGTGTACTTTAAAAAATAAACCTGTAGTAGATGACCCTTGCGTTCTTTTCTACTTCTATAATTGGTGTGATTCCATTTTTCATAAATATAATTACTAATGCAGCACCAAGTAATTAAGTGACAATTGAACATCTTAATATTATTACTAAGGATAAAGCAACTGTAATTATTGGTCATAAGACTGTAGCAGCTTTTTATTTGGTTTTGTTGCCATTTGGCTAATAACAGCCTCATTGGATATTTACTATGCACAGCAAATTATCATTCTGATGTAAATTGAAGATACTCCTAAAGAAGTGAGTTAACACACCTTTGTAATCTAATATGCATTCTCATTGTTTAATGTACTTGAATATATAAAGTAGTGTAAAAAGGTGTGTATGTGTATACAGACTTCCATTTATATTTGAAAAGTACATCTAGTTTGTGTTCAAAATCAGTATTTTTCTTTTATTTAAATTGCTTTAAGACTATTACACCTTCACTGATGTATGAACTTCTTGCGCTTTAGCATCTTTTCCCATTAAATATGAAGAATACATACTTAAGTAGAAATGTAACCTAAAAAATCATCGTCCCAAATCCTGTAAGAAATGTTGAGGCAAAGACTTGCTGATTATACAAAGTTTGCTGGGTTACAAGCATTTTGGTCTATCAAGACTAAAAATTTTAATTTTCTCTTCATTTCTTGAAATGTGGAATCCGTGGAAGTATATTAAGATTTTCTTTGTTGATCGTTGATGGTTTATAAAGATAAGACAGGAACTGTTGTTTAAATATCATTAATACCATCTTGCTAAAATTCTACTAGTTAGATTTTGAGAAGCCATTATTCATTTGAAAAACCTATATACCAAGTGTTCAAAAATTCAGTTTAGTATTCTCTCTGCTTAATTGTAGTTAACAGAAGGCAAAGGCTAAATAAATATCCTGATATAATCCAGTATACAACAAAAGTATAAACATGTTTTTTTTTTTAAATATTAGCATTACTAGATACCTCTAAGCTACCTCTAAAATCGAAGACATTCTTGCTTTGCTTCAAATTATTTTTTATTAAATTTATGATGAGTATTGCAGGACTAAGTACCTCCAAAGCTTTACTCATTTGTGATGTAAATACTAAAAAAAAGGGGGGGGGGAATAACTCCCCCAGCAAATTATGCAGCCAGTATCATCTGAGAACAGGTGTTGACTGAAAGTGCCTCTTTGTAGCATGAAAGAAAGTATATTTTGACTCTTCGAAATGACTAGCATTCACACTAAACAGTTTAAGTCCACAGCAAGTAAGTTTACATCATCATCCATAAAAAAGTGGAACACAACTGATGCCTGTTGGGACAAGTTTTAATCAGTCCCTTTGATATCTGGTAATAAAAAAAGAAAAAGAAAGTATTTCAATTTAGTTCTCTCCTCCTCAGCAACTTTGTAATCCATTTACTGCTTTCCATTCACATCCCTAACCCCTGTGTGTTGGTTAGTTAGAAACTGTGCTGTAAGAATGTAAACAGCCTTTTATTGTCCAAAAGGATACAGTGTGAAAGAAATGTGTGCCTTATCGCAAGACTGCAGCTCCGTACTTCATTGCCATGATAAAGTGCTGAAGCAAAAAACATTACAAGACAAGCACAATCCAAAAACGGATTAGAATTTGACATAAGCTTCCTCAAAAACTAATCAATCAACTCATGCTGTAATATTAGAATCCAGTTCTTAAGGAGGGTGTTTAATCCCTTCAAGGTTTATTACACATTCCCTATTGACTATGGTGACAAACTTTCAGATACAAGACAGCTAGAAGAGAGACAGAACTTTTGCAGCATAAATCAGAAATAACTACTCGCATAATTAGCATGATCCTGAAAACAAGCATTTTGAAATAAAATTACAATAGTGATTCCTTTGCTTTCAGAGGAAGTCTGGCAAACTAATTTTAAGGGTTTTTTCCCCCCTTAAATTCAGTTTATTTTTCACTTAAATACCAATAAAAAGACTTTTATTTTATCTTTAGAAGGGGTGTGGTACAGATCATACTATTTACACATCTATTTCAAATGAAGTATCTAATTTTAATTATACTTTGTAGCTTCAGCTTTTTAAATTTATATTGCCTAGACATACTACTTTACTCACTCCAATTCTTACAATTACACATTATGACACTGGCACATCTTCCTGTATCTAATCAAAATGGACAGAAATCCTTGTGTGTAGTCCAACAAAGAATTATAAACTCTACAATAACTGTTTAATATTCTGGGAGGAAAACAGAAAATCAGGACAAATAATTTCAATGCAGCGTTTTTCATCTACTTCCATAAAATACTTGATTAAATTGGTACTGAGCAATTCTAACTGTGAATCTGAAGTAAAAGCTAAGAAGTGGAATTGTGGTACTTTGAAGCATCATGTAGCTCAGTATATTCAACATGTCCCCAGTCACCTATGCCCCACAGGATTCTATTGTTAGAGTATTATTTAAAATACAGGCCTCAGAAATTTGAAATCTCAGCTCAACTTACTGAATAGAATTACAAAAAATACAAAGACAACTCTGGCACTTTTAAAAGAGAATCTTAATTTATGGGACTAACAGTCAATTGCTTTAGTGCAAGTTGTGTGTGCTTTTATTACATTAAAGTCTATTTCCCTTTTTTATCTCCAAAAAACAGTAGGCGGGGAGACCACATTGATTACCTTTCCCAAGTAACAAGACAGGGGTTGAATAGGAAAGAATATACCCATCCAGTGTGAAGAACTCTTACATAGCTGCTCTTAAAGTTGCAGGAAACAAGCAGCTAGAAAAGAGGGTGTTAAATGCCATGCTCCCAGCAAAAAGGCACTACCGTGTAGCACCATCAGCATCTACTACAAATGTTTGATCAAGGGGCATGTGCTCCATTTACTTGGCTACCTCAGACTGGTTACAAAAAGCTAACTCCTGCCAGATAATGAAAAAGCCCTCTGCAAAGGTCTGGGTTCAGGTCTTTCTAGCCTACTTCGCAAAGGAATGCTGCCTGCTTTGACACGCACAGCGATGTCAACCCCTTTCCGAAGCTCCTCGGCTCTGCAGTCCCTTCTAGCATAAAGAGTAAAGAAAAAGCAGACTCACAAGCTGAAGGAAGCTCTGTACCACCATCAGCGGCAGGGGCTGCAGGTACCTCATCCTGGCTTGGCGTCTAGGAGATGAGTCTCCTTACTTGGATCTTGCACATCTCCACTTTGGGGGGCAGGACTGAGTACAGGGACATACCACTGCGCTCACCTTAAGCAAAGCACAGATGGGGAAGCATCAACGCCCCGGCACATCCTCAGCTGAAGGAAGCTCTGTACCACCATCAGCGGCAGGGGCTGCAGGTACCTCATCCTGGCTTGGCGTCTAGGAGATGAGTCTCCTTACTTGGATCTTGCACATCTCCACTTTGGGGGGCAGGACTGAGTACAGGGACATACCACTGCGCTCACCTTAAGCAAAGCACAGATGGGGAAGCATCAACGCCCCGGCACATCCTCAGCGCTCCGCTTCCCAGGCAGCGGGGACACCTGCGCCGGCCGCGCCGCTGGAGGACTGGCCCCGAGCGA